GTTTTGTTTCACAATCCTCTCCAGGGTGCGGTTATCTCTCTTGCTTGTACACTTTTTTCGACCACATCTTTTCCTTCCCTTCGCCTCTCTATTAATGTGCTTGGACACTGAGCTCTGTGAACAGCCAGCCTCTTTAGCGATGACCTTTTGTGTCTTGCCCTCCTTGTGCAAGGTGTCGATGGTCGTCTTTTGGACAACTGTCAAGTCAGCAGTCTTCCCCATGATTGTGTAGCCTATAGAACTAGACTGAAAGACCATTTAAAGGCTTTTGCAGGTGGTTTGAGTTAATTAGCTGATTAGAGTGTGGCACCAGGGGCCATCAATTTTGAACCTTTTCACAATATTCTAATTTTCTGATATGATGAATTTGAGATTTTCATTTGTTGTCATTTGTAATCATCAAAATTAAACAAAATAAACATCTGAAATATATGAGTTTGTATGTAATGTATGAATATAATATACAAGTTTCACTTTTTAAATGGAATTACTGAAATCAATCTACTTTTTCATGATATTCTAATTTTATGACCAGCACCTGTATATTGAAATTGATATATTTTATATTTTGGTGGCCATGACATTTAGGAATAAAAAAAAAAAATTAACTTCTATAAAAGCTTCTGTCTCATTAAGTTTCCATATATTCTTGTTTTGTTTATCATTATGTTACTTAGAAAAATTGTAGAAGATACATAGTTTGTATTTCACTATTTTCTGTCAGTATTTACAAGCTATTACATTTTGTTCTTAGAAACGCTTAGGCATCATATATATATTTTTTAATACAGTAGAGTCTATTCAATTTAAAGGCCATGTGAGAAGGTGAAGGTTAAAGAAACCACACTGGTTGCAGAAGCGTGTAGACGAGAGGAGGATAGGGTAAAACTGAAATGAGTTCTGAATGAAGGAATGAGTGTGTTGGAGGGGGGACAGGGAGAACTAATAATAAATGGAGCCGTGAGTTGTTTTAATCCAGAATGTTGTGGCAGGGATGATGTTCTTGTTGGAGAGATCCAATAGGGTATTGGTGAGGACAGCGGATACTTCTCAGGTAGCCTTGAAAAAAAAAAGAAAGAAAGAACGAAAGAAAGCAAAGGTACGATTCAGTTAAGTGCTTCATCTGAATTAGAAGCATCAAAAAGATCTGAAGGTATATATACCACATGGGTAGAACTCATGGGGATGAGAAACTGGCAGCCAGCACCTAATATACACCAGGGGTTGAGAGGAGACTCTGCAGTCTGCAGGTGTCTGTCCATGACAATCAAACAGCGACCTCTGCTGGCAAAAAAAAAAAAAACTAACTAAACAACAACAACAACAACAAAAAAAACTGAAACAGACCCCACAACCCCAGACATATTGAAGCCAAAGATAAATGATCAAATACAAGCATCCAAAACGCCAGTCATCACATGTGTTTGATTACTATAATGGCAAAAATTATATAGGCTATATATTTTTTTTTCTTTAATGAAAACGCATAAATGCTGAATTATTACTTGAATACAAGATTAAAAATGGTATTTTACTCTTTTAAGTGAAGTGTCACCCATATTTCCCTGACATAAAATTCGTGCTTGAAATAGAACTTCAAATCAATATCTTTAGTGTTAAACTGATTACCCTTATCAAAAAGGAGTTTATTAAAGTATACTAAATGTGCACTAATTTCATAGTTAAAATCAGGCTGTGCACTTAGAGTGTACTTATTATAAACTATATTTAATATACTTAACAATAGTATAGTCAAGTGTACTTGACTATTCTATTGTTCACTTTATTGTTTACTAAAGTATACTTTAAGTATACTTTAGTAAACTTAAAAATGTCCCGATTTAGTTCGAAGAAGTGTTACTTTAGTAATACTTCAAGTACACTAAAAATACATTGTTCGGCATACTTTCTAAACTTATACTTATACTTAAAGCTACAGTGTGTAATAATTACAGGGATATACAGTCAGAAATGTAATATATTATACATAACTATGTTATTTTATCATCATCTACGAGCTCAGCCTCTTAACCTTAATATTTGCGTTGCCTTAGAATTCGTTATTTATAATTACATAGGAGGGGGTCTCGCAGCTATGGAGGCAGACATCTTTGCGCTACGGCAGCGCAGAGCCAACAAACTAGTGATTGCGAGATTGCCAAAATGTCACAACGATGTAGAAAAAATAACGGGTTTATTTATTATCTTAATTCTACATGAAATCTATACCCTACACAGACCAATGAAATACTATCTGTAAAATTATCTATGTAAACAAACCTCATCACTTGAGAAGGTAGGTGATGCGGACGTCGTGGAAGACCTTTTGTCCCGTAACGCTCGCCGTACTGTTGGGGGGGAGAAGCGATGGGGGGGAGATGTTCATGTTGCTGCAGTCTGCAGTCTGACCGCTAGATGTCGCTAAAAGTTACACACTGTAGCTTTAAGTATTCTTAATAGAGTTAACTTCAAGTATACTACTTCAGGTATACTACCCTTAACTTCAAGTATACTACTTGAAGTTAAGGTTAGTAATTCTTCATTAGGGAATGCTTTGTTGTTATTACACATTGGGTCCTACAAAATAATGAAAATGCCCTGGCACTTTAGGAGGCTGTATTTATTTCGTTAATTTAATTTAATTTCTGCCTTTGCGCTGTATTTTTGAACAGTTGTAAACATATCAAAGCTGTAGCAGCAGTCTTAATAAATTGGCGTTTGGCTCCATCTAGTGGTTGTTTACAGTGGCTATGTCTTAAAAAGTTCTGCTTGACAAATCTGATACATTCTCAGATAATATGTTAGTAGGCCTTTTAATTTGGATTGCTAAATAAGAAATGTGTCAAATCACATGGCATGCCATCCCCTCCCACCCCTACAAGCTTCAGCCATCAATGTGTGCTGAAAACAACTTGTTGATGTTCAAGGTCTTCACTGTACCCCAAAGGATCCAAGAGGGACCAGATCTCAGTCGAGTAGTGTGCCTCTGGTGGAGTGGGAGATTGGCATAATAGATTTGCACCAGGCATAAAGCCTGCATTTGGATGTCACTATCTGTGTCATTAATATCAGTTTCTCTAAAAGGAAAATAGTCCTGAAGTGACTAATGCAGTCTCCTAACTGATTTGCCAGTGATTTCAATGTGGACCTATATAAACGTCAATTTCTTGGCACTATTTCAACTGAAAATAAAAAGAGGAAAAGTAAAGGGAAAAGTTAAAAACTACAATCCTGCCAAACTGCTGTAAAAATGTATTACTACCCACCTCTGCTCTCACTTGTTACTTTAAAATATATCTAGTACTTTCCCCGTGAAACTATCAGCAATATTTTGCAAAAAAAAAAGTAAACTGGTATTGGAGAATGAAAGGTGGAAAAAAAACCCAGGTTAAGTTGGGATCTTAGCAGAGGCGTAGCCACAAATTTTTTATAAGGATGGCCAGGCAATAATCACTGTACACTGAGGGGTGGCCCAAAGTAGATAGGCACCAACACCTCACAGTAAATCCATCCATCAGGAAAATTAACGACCAAAACATCCCTATTTTCTAAATTAAGACACACTATATTTTCACACAGCCTTTGCTTACAAATAGACGAATATATTCAAACATCCGTGCTTTCTAGATAAAAGGTATAATGGATAGGCTTAAGGGTAGGCTTAAAACTTTCCTTTTTGTTAAAGCTTATAGGTAGAATGGCTCAGGTTATCCCGAGCTATCTCTATAGTTGACTTCTGGAGGACATATGGACCACCATTTCATCATTCTGCTTCTATTTATTCTATTTCTATTCTTCCACTCTGCAGAATCTGTTAGTTTAATCTCTAACGTTCTGCTCTCTCTGCTTTTTCTCATAGTAGCTTTGCCTCGTCTGTTCCTGTTTGGCTGTGACACCATCCTGGAGAAAATTATCAGCTGTGCTGCTGCCATCAACACCTTTGTTTATAGATGTTGGGGATTGGCTTGTTTTCCAGTGTAGTCCTGTTTCTCTGACTGTGAATGGCTGGATGTGCTCGCTTCATCCTCTGACATGGGAGTTGGCTCGGAGCTCGTCTGCCTGGCTGTGTGTTTCCTGGACGGGGTCGCCTTTTACAGCTGCTTTTTGTATCTCTGCTTCTTTCTCCTTAAACCCCAGTCGGACTGGGCAAATGGCCACTCACACCGAGCCTGGTTCTGCTGGAGGTTTCTTCCTGTTAAAAGGGAGTTTTTCCTCTCCACTGTCCCTACAAGCATGCTTAGTGTGAGGGATTGCATTCGAGTCAATGAGTCGATGCAATCAACTGGTTTTCCTTAGGTAGAAAACTTTGAATCAATTAGACTGTATCATCTGGTGAACTGTAAAGTGCCTTGAGATTACGTGTTTTGAATTGGTGCTATAGAAGTAAACTGAATTGAATTGGATAAAATTGTTTCAGGTTTTTGGTGAACATCTTTTCCATTGTCATTGCTCACCTACTTTTATCAGCAATCATTCAGCATAAAATTGATATTTACAAATACAAATATCTACATAAATTGATTATTTAATAAGCTTTTATTAAAATAGTTGTTTATCGAAGATTTCACTGAAGACTCCTAGATGACTTTCTCTTTACCCCATAAAACAAAAAAATCTATTTCTGCTTGAGTTCTGTATTCATAATCTTTATTGTTAGAATATTGATGTGCATAATTAATTGTTGTTAATATATGAAAATGTTTTAAATATTCCACTTGAGAGTATTACTGTTGCCACCATCTGTATAAGAGGGAAGTAAATGATAGGGTGGCCAAGGATTGGCTAAGGCCATGGCCACCCCTGGCCCCCCATCTAGATCCGCCCCTGGTCTTAGCGGTAGGGATAGTTTTGAAAATTACAAATCTCTCTGACAGAAGGCTGGCCTCTCCGAGACCACGCGTCAGTTTACAACATATTTCATCATTTTCCTCTTTCTTTACATCCATGGTAAGCATGAATGTTAAACAGCTGTAACAGATCAATAAAAGTGAGACAGCTGTAGCACAACCAGATGCGCTGACAGCTTCACACGCGCCTCGTGACGTTTCTTTCCCTGAAAAGTCAAACAGGTGTTTCATCGGTCTGCTCTCAAGATTATCATACCGCTAGTTTCCCCCAAAGCTCCGCCCGAAACCCTATTAATATACCGTATTACCCTCTTGCGCAATCAGAGCGCAACGGTTATAAATCGGTCTGCGCGCCCCCGGCACATGTGGAAACAGAACTAAGGGTAACAGAATCTCTTGCCGAACAGGCGGTGTGAATCTGTGAGGGGAAAATTTTTCAGACAGGGAAGAGAGGTAACACCAACGCACTAAAAGCTGCTGCTGAAGGCACGCTGAGGTAACCGCAGCCATGGACGGACGCTCCTCATGGACTGAGTGTTGTGCAATAAGACGGATCCGCAAGCTGGTTCCGCTGGGTTTCAAGAATGAAGTTAAAGAGCTATCTAAGCTGGCCGCTCCAGTGGTAAGCGTCCTATGATTAAATATACTGTCACTATCCAGTATCATAGGGAATGGATACAATTAAATAATGTTTAAATTCCACTTTAAGTTTACAGTAAATATCTTGTGTAATAATTGGTTTTACAACTAGACAAAGCCACCCCTACTGTGCCCTGGTCAGATTTTCATTCGGAGATCACTAGTCTAACAGCTACACCCAAAACAGCATGGTACTGCCAACCCCATACTTAAACACTTCAATGTTGTTTTCAGGCTTCACTTCTTTTTTTCTCCGAATTGTAATCATAGTAAAACTGGGCTCCATAATAAAGGCATCTGTCTTTGATTGAATTTGCAAACTCTTACCGGCTGTATGCTCCATGTGAAGTTCTCTTTACAGGGCCGCTGGAAGTCAATTTTGAACTTGGGGTGCTGTCAAAATTTCTTTCTTGTTTTTTTTTTTTTTTTTTTTTTTGGACAAAAGACCTATGTGCCTATAGGCCTATTTAAAATACAATAAGAATAAATCATTAAATAGGTTGAGATTCTCTGCTTTATTGTCATATACACTTCAGTCTGCGCAACTAGAGTCTGTAACACACAGACTTCATCAATGTTCAGGTGAATATATGTGCTATTAATTAAACTTCTCAACAACTTTATAACAACGTAGATTTGGTCAGCTGTCATGAACCTGAGTCACTGTGTTTAAAGCCTCATTAACACCGTTGAAAGGTGTTAATGAGGTCCAGTCTCATGTCCAGTCATGAGAGAGACTATGTACATTTAGTAGTCTGCTGCCGCGAGCGGGATACCTCTACGGTGACCACTACCTTGCTTGACGTTACGTGAAAACGTATGCATTTATAAATATAGTTGTCTCAGATTTCTCTTTATGTTGTCTTTCAGATGATGGCACAGTTCATGAGTTATGCTGTGAGTTTTGTCAGCACCGTGTTCTGTGGCCATCTTGGGAAAACAGAGCTGGCAGGAGTTTCTTTGGCCATCGCTGTAGGTAGAAAGAAGTTGTTTAAAAATCCCACTGTTCTGAACCTGATTGATAGCTTATTCCAGGTTTGTTTTCTGTCTCCCCAGGTTATCAATGTCACAGGTGTATCCATTGGTTTTGGTTTGGCATCAGCGTGTGACACGCTGATATCCCAGGTATGAACATCAACCAATCACACGTGTTAAACATAAACTGGTTGTGTTAAAGGAATTTAACAGTCTGAGTTAGAAAGTAATTTTCTTTATATATTTTAGACATATGGGAGTGCTAACCTCCTGAGAGTTGGGGTCATTCTGCAGCGTTCAATCCTCATTTTGTTACTGACTTGTTTCCCCTGCTGGGCGATCCTCATCAACACTGAGCCCATTCTTTTGGCAGTCAAACAGGAGCCAGAGGTAGCCAGGTCAGATGTCTTAATCCACTCACATCCTCTGCTCATTGTATTTATGAAAATAATCCCTTTTGTTTTTTATGCAAAAAATCTCTCAATAGTTTGGCTCAGATGTACGTTAAGATCTTCATGCCAGCACTTCCAGTGAGTATATTTTACATAAATTATTGTTCATCATTTCATGCCGGTAGTTCAATAATTTTTACATACAAAATACTAAAAGTAAATTTTTCACTTGACTTAAACTAAACCATTAACTTAAACACATTAACACTATCACAGTCTAGTTGCAGGACCAAGACAACAAAAAAAAAAATCATAAATCTGAACTATTACTAAAAAAAAAAAAAATTGATACATGTACATTTCGATCTAATCCAGATAGAATTATTCAGCTTATTTTTTTGTATTATTCTAAAAGTTACCCTACTCTGCATTGCTAAAGGTATTCGCTCACCTGCCTTGATCGCATTAGTGACATACCATTCTTAATATAGAGTTTGTTGGTTTAGTCTTTGTATCTATAATAGCTTCAACGGTTATGGGAAAACCTTCCACAAGGTTTAGGAGCATGATTAAGTGATTTCTTAACCCTTCCACACCATACATCAGGATTCTTCAAATTCCAGCCCCAAAGTTCCAGTGTCCTGTACCTTTTAGATACTCCTGTACTACAATACACCAAGTCAATCGGATCGTTAACAGGACTTTTGAGAACTTGACTGCATACTTAGGAGTTAATTCAGTCATGTCATTCTTGTGTGTTGAAGTAGAGTTATTTAAAAGGTTCAGGACACAAAACCTCTGTGGCTGAAATGAAGGAACTCTGCCATACATGAGCTGTCTCCACTGTAGGTTATCCACTGGAGGTTCCAGCAGACTGAGGTCAGAACTCTGTGCAGGACACCAAACTCTCTCATGGACTGTCCTTCACTCCTTGTTGCACAGTCTTGTTGGAAGAGGTGCAATCTTCATTGTTTCCACAATGAGCTTTTGGCATTGTCACAAATCTATTGATATGTTGAACCATTTAGGGTTCATTTCACTTTAACCAAGGAAGAAAGCCAAGTTCCTGGAAAACAATTCCTTGTCACAGTACAGTCAGACAAGTACATTTTCATGACAACAGCCAGAACTAGACTGATCCATCAGATTTTCAGATTGACAATTTGTCACCTTAGAAAATACACTACCACGGTTCTAGACTGGAAGCTAGTGGTGGCTTGCTTTATACCAGTGGTTTTCAAATTCAGTACTTACGTGTTTCAGGTATTTCCTCGCCTCTACATACCTAATGTTTGATGTTTGCTGAATCAGAAGCGTCAGAAGTTTAAAAATCAATGCTATACAACACTTTGTCCAACTCTTTTAATTCACTTGGTTATGTATGGGTTGGATGCAGGTGCTGGGCCATGGAAACAATTTCTATAAAGCTCTCTACACACTTTTATTAAGGTAATCTGAGGTCCACATGAAAGTAATATGAGGTCCACATGAAAGTGTGAAAGTTTAGGTTTAGGGTTATGGTCTGTAGCGTTTAAGGGCAGAAACCTGGGGACCTGTGTGCTTTGTGTGAATCAGCATCCACTGTCCATTTTCTGCTGTTTTTTTTTATAAGTTTCTGCTTTTTACAATTATAAAATAATCAGATAATACTCATAATCAGAGTTCATTAGATAATGAAAGGTAAAAAATATTTCAGACAGGTCAAGAGTAAAAATGTATTTCATTGAAGTTATAGATTGTTGTGTTAACACAAAACTGGCACAAATGAATAATGGAATGTGTATGCTGTATACTGTAGTTAGCTATTGACAAATATCAAATCTTCCACAGTAAGGTTAAACTGGTACTTTGTTCCTGGATTGGAAACTTTCACCATAAAGGAAGGAGTAAGAGTGGGTTTAGTGAATCATGAAAGTAAGGATGTGAATGGGTGAACAGATGACCAATAAATGAGTCAAATAATAACATAGAGAAGAGGAGCAAATGAGAAGCATTCTCTTCATATGAATAAGGCAGTGATTTATACCAGAGAAGCACCAACTATCATACTTATTTTTCCATCCTGAATCCTTTGTATTGGTTGGCTTGTTTTTCTTCCATTTGTCTGTGTGCATTTCCTATGATGGTTATATTCTACTGTACTCTGATCTGACTATATAAAGTTAACTGATAGTTGTATGCACTTAATACAATGGGGCTTAAACTTCTTAGTCATACTGTTTAAAGTTCCCAGGCTAATGTTAACATTTTTTCTCTCATTGCAATAATCTACTTTAGAAGGATTTCATAGCCAAAACTGAAATCAGTCCATATTTAAGTAGAAAAAAAAGAACTTGCAAAATTGACTTAACAAGCTTAATCCAATTACTCCCCTTACTGTCTTTCAGGCTGCTTTCATGTTTTCCTTAGAGTCAAAATACCTTCAAAACCAGGTAGGTTCATTATTTTATACCAACTGTAAGCTGAAATATACTACTCTGATAGTACAAAGTATAATGGACCAGAATATGATATGTTCCATCTAAAAGGCAGTTAGATTGATAAGATGTCTATGACGGGTTTATTATGTTGGATTTATTGTTGTTTTGTTTGTTTTTTTTATAAATAGAGCTCCCTTGATATAGAACACTGGTATCCAGGCTCATCTCTGTGTAATTGCAGTCATTGTAGACTCTTGACCTTTGTTTGAGACATGTCAATTTGTGCAAAATTGTAATTAAACAACATATGGTATTTTATTGAAGGGCATAATTTGGCCACAGGTGGTCACAGGGCTGATCGTAAATCTACTCAATGCGCTCATCAACTACATCGTGCTTTTCCTATTAAAAATGGGGACTGCGTGAGTATTTCTAACTTTTTTTTTATTGTACATCAGATCACATTCTCAGCTTTATAGATTAATCTAAGCATTTGTTTTGTAAATGTCACATTGGGAAATTCTGTAGAGGCTCTGCTTTAGCAAACACTTTGTCTGAGTTCTCCTTGGCCGGATTCCTTTATGCATACATCATGTGGAAAGGTCTGCACAAGACAACCTGGGGAGGTGAGTAACACATATTGATAGGATGCTGTCATATAATGATGAGGAGCAGGACCTTAATTGTAGATAGGAGGAAGGAAGCAGGGGGATTAAAAGCAAAAGAAAAAACTAATTCATGGAGAATCCAAGATTGCACTGAAGGCCCATACCCGGCTGTGAATAAGACAATCATCTGTCCAAAAGCAGTTAGCAGGGAGATATTTAAGCTGCTGAGATGATTAATAGACAAAGAAAAAGTTGTTGATTAAAAAGTCGGTGCTGCTGTGATGGAAGGCAGGTAACTGGAATGGGAGAATTGGCTCATATAACACACAAGGAACAAGGGAGCACAACATAGATACATATAAGATATAAAAATAAACGGGAAATAAAAAACACTCCCACAGATCATGACAGATGTGTCTTTACTCTGATGGAAAACACTCATATTTCATTTTTTTTTTTTTTTTACTTAGAGCAAGGGAACAAGATAAGTGAATGTTTCCTTATGCAGGGTTAACTTGTTAAGGCATTTACTAATTTTATTTTAAGGTTATGTTTAGTTTATTGAGTTTACGGTGGAGGGTGAAGAAATGTATACTGACACGGTTGTAAGACATGTTTTACTTGTAAACAAAAAAGCTGCTCAGAAGAAAAGTCAGCATAGGTAACGAAGGTTTATTTCAACACTAAAAGAAAGAAATAAACAGCGAAGCTATGGGTTTAAATATGGATCTACTCTTTAAATTTTATCATTCTAATGTTTCTTCTTTAGGCCTCAAAAGGTGCTGAGACTCTGCTATTAAATCATTTCTTAATGAAGAAGTTTTCCCCACAACCTCAGCAGCATAACAATGAAGCAAAATATGATAAGAATCTAATCAGCTAAGAGCAAAGGATGCAACAGGGTTTTTTCAGAGGTAGTTGTACTACACTCAAACCAAAATCCTACTTCGATTCATGCAAGGGGAGCTTTAGATCCTTTACTGGCCTTGTTCTAGAAAACACCTTACCAAAAACAGCTATTGGAATTCTGAAGCAGTGCTTGGACCAATTGTAAACATTTACCTAAACTATATATAAGTTATGTTGTACATCGAGGTTTTATTTTATAAAGTTCCTTGATCTGTTTTGTAAAAAAGACAAGTAGTAGAGAAAGGTTAAGTTTGAAGTAAAGAGTAAATACACCTATTTTTATGTAAATCCAGTACAGTTATAACCATAACCATAATCTTATTATAAATCGAACTAACACCACAGCTCAAACTCTAACCTTTCATCAAAAAAATTTGAATCAACCACATTATAAAACAAATGATTTTACCAGGAAGAATCTTGATGGCATTTTATTAACAAGTACACATTTGCATTTGTATTTATGAAAATAAATATATGAAACTGGGTGTACAAGATAAGGTTTTTATAAAAAAAAAAAAAGTAATATAACCAGTTTGCTCACAGATCTAGAGCTTGATTTGAAACAATCTCTACTAGGCTAATACTGTGAACATCGAAGGAGGTTGTTTACTCCATTTTAACTCACCCTGCTAATTAGCAATCCAACATATTTGCATTGCAAATGGCTTTGGACTGAGGGCATTAAGTCATATTGTCTATATTTAAAGAAGACATGGCTCACAAGTGAACAATACTTTGGATGTTATTTTAAGTAATCAATTCAGTTTTTGTCTCATTTCTCTTTTTTATTGAATGATTTTCAGTTTGAAAAATGATTAGCTTTTCTTTCCTTTTCCTCTATCGTCTACAGGCTGGTCCATAGAGTGCCTCAATGACTGGAAATCTTATATCCACTTAGCTATTCCTGGAATGGTCATGATGTGTGTTGAGTGGTGGACATATGAGATTGGAGGCTTTCTGGCAGGTATTTACAAAGTCAGAAATATAATTTGGAAGATGTTTTGTTTTTTCTAAAATAGGTCTGAAACGTCGTACCTGTTTTATTTTGAAAGGTCTAATAAGTGAGGTTGAACTTGGAGCGCAGGCAGTTGTGTTTCAACTGGCAAATATTGCCTACATGGTGAGCTAAATAAAAGTCCAAATTGTACACAACTAATTTTTTCTAATTATTTATCAAATTGGTAATATTTTACATTTTGGTAGTTTCCAATGGGTTTCAGCATTGCAGGCAATGTTAGAGTTGGGAATGCTTTAGGAGCCGGAGAAACAGAGCAGGCCCAGCTGTCTGCGAAAGCAACTATGTTTTGTGCAGGTTAGTAAGTACTTCAATCATTACATGTTTAGACTTCTTTTTTTCTACTTTTTAAGACAGATGACATGTTTCAGATCATCCATGCCAGAAAGGTAAGTCATGACAGGGCATGAGCAGTCAGATATTTAGCCAGGAATATAACCAAAGGGAATCTGTGGCTACAAACATAGAAGTGTGTCCAAGCAGCTCTTTCCTAAGATACATCTAATACCCCTTTCACACTGCCCAAAAAACCTGTTTAAACCAGGGAACAATTGTCTTTTAGTGGCAGTGAGAACAGCTCACTGATGCGTGTCTACCCGGGTCTAATGGATTTGCAAGCGACCCACGTTACAGTCGCCTTGGCTTTGATTGGCATGTAGTGGGAACAGTGGTTGACCTGCTAAATTACTTGATAGCATTGAACGCAATGAACAGACAGCAACTCACGGTGCCAGACACTTCTGATCTAACAAACCAAGGCTACACTGTTTACCTTTGATAAGCATGGCACACCGTAAGAGAGATTCGGACAGATAAAAGAGCGAAATAAAAAAGAATACTGACTACGCCCTGGCTTCCTTACATGTTGCTCTCCATTGTTTACTTTGCTGATTTCCGTCCCACTGTCAACATAATCAACGCTCACCCAGCGTGATGCCATCAACAGACATGCAGTGGTGGGGGACAGTGGCCATGCAGCTTGACAGCAGGGGATCAGAATCAGCTTTTCGATCAAAGGGGAAAACCTGGGTGTTCAGTGGGAAAGCAGCTTAAGATTATTGACTTTACTAAATTATTTATGATATAATACATATATATTTGAGACTGCATTCTGGGGTTGTCCTTAACCCCTCAAATAATTTTTTTATAAATAAAACAATTTTAGCCCAAGATTATTATTACCGGTACATCATTCACATAATGAGTAATTGAAAATCTCTGATCCCAGCTATATGTTAGGATTGGAAAGCAGAAGCTTCAAAAGTAACAAATAAAAATTAAGTCAATTATTTTCTTTCACACTGCTGTCTGTGTAGGAAATGGCCTTAAATAGCAATATGTTAAAATACATTAGCTTTGTGTTCTGTGAGCGATCTTACTGTACAAGTCTAGCAGCTGTACAGCTAATTTAACAGGTTTTTTGCAACAGGGTCAGTGTCTATATGCATGGCAGTGCTCATTGGGAGTCTGAAGGATCACATCTCCTACATTTTTACATATGATGAGTAAGTACAACTTTAATGTTAACCCAACTATTGTTAATGTGTAAAAGGTGTCTTATGAGAGTGTGAAGTCACACTCACATGACTAACCTCCAGAAGACATGACTCAGATCTTAAGTGACCTTTGAGAATTACAGAACAGGCCTTATCTAACCATAAATCTGGAAACCTGGTTTACTATTGTGTGACATAATAACTAGGTCTAAAGGTTTGTATAAATTGCAGTCAGTTACTGTACTCTGTTCAGTCTCAATAAGAATATTAGCAATGTATAATAATTTTAGCACAATTTTTAAGACAGTAAGCTTAAATGAAATTCGGTTTAATTCCATTTATGGTGATATAAAATACTATAAAACTAATTGCAAAAATATAATACTATAAAAACATTTCTTGTTGCAGGCAAATTAGGGAAAGAGTTGCAGAAATAATATCTTTTTACGCTCCATTCATCCTCCTGGATGCCATATCGGTAGGTATCTATCATTTTGTAAAACAAACATTCAAAAATTATAATCAAAGTAAACTAGATATCAAAAGTGCAATTTTTTTGTGATTCAACTAGTTGTTCTTACCAAACCACTGAAAAACATTTCAGCCTTTATAAAAACACTACTCCATAAGGGAAAAATGGAAATAGTTGAAAGGTTGTGATGACGTCTGTTTGTAAAGGTGGGTATGCATTTATCTGATTCAGAAAGCTCTCTCTGTAGGATAAAGAAGTTAAGAATGATTAAGAAAGGAAACAAGCAACAGAAGAGGAGAAAAAATATTACAGAATATATATATATATATATATATATATATATATATATATATATATATATAAATAATACCCTGCAGGAATAATAAGCTGGCCAAAGGATAAATCACAGGCCAGAGCTCCTAACAATGCATGGAGGGTACCGCCCCAAATGCAGCATCCTGAGACTGTGCGCCATCCGTAAGGAAGGAGGCCGAGGACTAGTGAGCATAATAGCTTCTATCCAGAATGAAACATCAAGATTCATAATTACATCAAGGACAAGGCTCCAACAGATGATGTGCTCAATGAATGTCTCAGACAATGAGGAACAGAAGATAAGTTGCTGGAGGTTCAGTCATGGGAAGATAAGCTCCTACACGGGATGTAGGCTACCACTGAAACATAACCGAATTGGCAGATATCAGGAAATTCTACCAATGGCTAGACAAAGCGGGACTGAAGGACAGCAGGAGCAGGCCCTGAGCACCAGAGCAGTAGAGGCCCAGATCTACCACACCAGACAAGACCCCAGGTGCGGACTGTGCAAAGAGGCCCCTGAGACAATACAGCACATAACTGCAGGGTGTAAGATGCTGGCAGGGAAAGCTTACATGGAGCGCCATAACAAAGTGGCTGAAATAGTGTACAGGAACATCTTTGCAGAGTATGGGCTGGAAACACCAAGATCAAAAAGGGAAAAACCTCCAAAGACGGTAGAGAAAGATCAAGCCAAGATCCTCTGGGACTTCCAGATACAGACGGACCAAATGGTAATGGAAAACGAACCGGACATTGTGGTGGTGGACCAAAAGCAGAAGAAAGCTTTTGTGGTTGATATAGCAATACCAAGTGACTGCAACATCAGGAAAAAGGAACATGACAAACTAGAGAAATACCAGGGGCCCAGAGAAGACCTGGAAGGTTAAGGGATCAATGGTACCCGTGGCCATTAGGGCACTCAGGGCAGTGACCCCTAAACTTGAGTAGTGGTTACAGCAGATCCCAGGAATACATCAGACATCTCGGTCCAGAAAAGTGCAGCTCTAGTAACAGCAAAGATACTGTGCAGAACCTTCAAGCTCCCAGGCCACTGGTAGAGGACCCGAGCTTGGAGGAAAAAAGGTAGACCGCCCGCACTGGGTGAGGAAGAGTATTTTTTTTTATATACATATATATATACTCTATAACAACCAGGGATCAGTAGTTAGAGTAGTAATTAAAACAAACAGAAATGCTTTGACCCAAAGCCTTCAAGTTTGCTACAAAGCAGAAGATATAGAGATAAATCTTAATTTAAGGGGGATTTGTAATTTTTTTAACAGACACCGTGCTTCTGTTTAGGAAGTGTAACCTTTTGTTTTTTTCCCATTAATGACCAGGCGGCCTCTGGTGGTATTATAAGAGGAGCAGGTAAACAGAGAGTTGGGGCTATTTGCTACTTCTTGGGATATTATGGCATCGGTTTTCCAATAGGAATCCCCCTGATGTTTGCAGCCAAACAAGGAATCAAGGGTAACCTCTACAGTTCTTAGTCTTCTGAAATGCTCTGCCTCCATTTCTTTCTTTACATCTTAAGTAACAACATAATGTGAATATTTTCTATTACCAAGGTCTATGGACTGGCTTGTTTACCTGTGTATCAGTTCAGTGCGCATTCCTGATTTTCTATCTCCTCAGAATGAACTGGAAGTCAGTAACAATTGAGGTTAGTCTCAGAGATAAATATTGTTTATTTTGAAAGTTTTTTTTCTTTATTAACATTGATTTAAACATTGCTTTATCTTCTAGGCAAGGATCCGAGCAGGGGTAATTGAGAGCTCAGCAGAGACAAGTATGCATTAATTATTTGTTTAGGTTCTTATATTTATGTAGATATTTTCTATTATGAAACAATAAAAGAAAGTCTATGTGGTGCAGTTGTGACTAATAAAAACAGTTATCTGATTACCTAATTTTAACATAAACCCCACACTGTAGCACCTGACTCTTACCAGTGACAAAAAAAATCCCCTAAACAGGAATGACGTATAAACAGAAAAAAGTCCTCAACTAACAGCCTGAATTGAAAGTCTTGGAAAAATGAATTCCCCTTTCTTCCTTTTCTTTAGTTTCTATCATGAGATCTGTCCTGGTTCAGCATGATACTATATCACCATTAATAGGGCAAAGTGGAACATTGTTTATCTTGAGACTTTTTGTCTTCCTTGCTCATTATCCATTTTATGTGCATGAGGAAACAAGATAGAGTACAAGTTTTAACCCTTTATAGGACACTCAGTGGAGTACTTTGAAAGTCAAAACTTCAAGCTAAGAGTGTTATTGGAGGACAGTACAAGACCGTATTACTTTTGTAACATTAAAGAAATATCGGTAGTTTGATGGAAAAAAATCAAGTTTAATGTGCTAACAAATGGTGACTTGCCTTAATATGTTAAAAAACTAAGCAAAAGCGATTCTTTCAGAAATCCGTGAAAAACACTCACAGAGTGAAAGAAACAATTTTTTTTTCTTGCAACATAACCTTAAGAACATTAATGCTGATACAGGCACTTACATTTCTTACTTCCTTACTTAGGTTATTAAGTTTTTAACTTAACTTTTCAATTAGCTTTTTAACTTTTTCAACTTAACTTTTTTTTAGACCTCACTGACAACTTATCTAATGTTACAACAACTGATTGAGAAACAAATTACCTTCTTCAATTACACAAAGTACCAGGTTGCAAAATACTGTACAAGCCAGGTCAGTAGATGAAATTACTTATATTTGAAAAGTAACTTTAAAGTTGAAGAAACCTCTCTTTGTTCAAGAACGTAACCTCTAAATATAAAAATGTGAGTTGTAGTTTTTGGAAGTAGTGTCTAGTTTCCAAAGACTATAGCAACTAATAGCATCTGTGCATAACAAAGTAATTCCTTAGTTTTAGAAAGCAATCTTAAAGTTCCAAAAGGCATGAGAAAAGTTCCAGAAAGTATGCTCCTAGAAATCAAAATTTTAAGGCAAGGAAACATATTTCCAAGTTCAAGTAACTAATCTTCAAGCCCTTCACTCTGGAAAAGTATTTCAGCATTATGTTCAACAATCAATATTTAATAATCCTTCTAAGGCACAATTAGGTGACACTTCCCCCAGTTGTCTTCCCTCAAAATAAGCAGAAGTTGTTACAAATATGGCATCTTATAAAATAAGAATTTGTGTTGGAAAGTACATGGATCAGTAATTGAAAAGATGTACTGTACCTCATCAGCTCCCTCTCAGGCAGAAGGGATTAGGTTAAGTCATCCTGCTAAGAAAGTTGCCAATTATCAACTCAAGCTTCTTTCTACCACTGAATATGAAAAAATTACCTGAAAATCTTGGACACAAATGACTGAAGTAGAATCTGCCCCCGTGAGGAACATTAAACCTTTTCCAATTAACTATGTATGATATGGACTACTGGTTGTCTAATGCCTTGATATACGACAACCAGTAGTCACCAGAATTACAGTGTACACAAAATAATTAGAAGCAATCTAAAATTTCACAAATCGATCCCCTTTTCCATCATAATCTTAAGATCCCATCCATTACATCCACTTATAAGATCTGTGTCAATAGTCAAAAACTGTAAATAAGCCTCAGAACTGGTTATAACCTTCTTGTCATTATCTTTGAGTCAATTTTTTGACTCAAGCTTAGCTGTGTGACCACTCTGTTAGTTTCAAACAGTCCAGTTCTTGTTTTCATTCTTGTTTGTTGATCTCTATGATCAATGTCTGAGTTAGCTTTTTAATCAACTATGCCACTTATTGAAGATATGGAAGGCACCTGGTTGTAATAAAAAAATCAATAAGTTCAAACATTCTTGTAGTTAGTTATGTGAAAAGTCTCTAAACATCTTTTCCTCCCCTGGATGACCAGGTCCCCAACCAGAAGATGCAGGAACCTCACTGAGCCCAACAGACACCAGAGATCTGGTTGATGCTGAAGAGGTCTCTGCAGTACAAACCCAGGAAGTCCAGCGCTCCTACAGGAGTCTGGTTCTTCGAAGAGGTCTCGCTCTGGCTGGCATGCTGTTCATCCTGGCTACTGGAATCATCATAAACCTGCTTGTCACGAACTTGGTTACCTGACTATGAATGACGTCTATCTTGTTCAGGGAGCAAAGGCTCTGCCGCAACTGCAAAGGAAGGTGTGGCTGTTGCACTGCAGGACACAGCCAGACAGGAGAAGGCACACACATGAAGATAAGCAGGAAGCAAAGAGAAAACAGGAGAAGCAATATATGATTATTAATGATTTAATCTCAGAAAGCGAGAGTATTCTCTGGAATGACAAAAAAAAATCATCCCTAATCATTATCTTGATCTTTACAGTCAATGCTGACAAAGAGCTGAGTCAAACCAGCTTATGTTAGCTTCGACTCACTTTGACTGTCCATTAGGGAACAACATGGTGGAGAAAATTGGATCAGGAGTGTATGTTGCATTGATCCAGTCAGTAGCAGTATGGTTGCCCTCTGCAGACTGAATCTCTGGCAAAGGAACAAGGAAGTGCACAGCTGCTCCCACAGCTAAAAGAGCAACTGCAGCAAACATGGCAAGGCCTCTTCTGATGATCAGCTGGGTGGTGGAAAGTTGTCTTTCTTTCAGCTGCTGGACATCATGGCCTCCTTGTCGATCCGTGTTTCCATCCTGGCCCTCTGTATTGACAGAAATGTATCCGTCTGTTGCCTGTAAAAAAGTATAACATTTCCCATTTTTTTTTTATTCAAGTTTGAAATAGTAGAAACATTTTACATTGTAATAAAAGTACCAATAGAATAATAAAAATGTTTTAATTGTAGATGTTTGCTTACTTTGTCATTGCTGGCTGTTTGATCTGCAGTTTGCTCAGTTTCTGAGAAGCCAGAGGAGTTTAACAAAGTCATGTGCACGGCTTTCTGAGCTCGTTTTACAGCCTATGAGAAAAGAATATTAAAAAGTATACCTGTAAGTTCTTGAACAAAACTGCAGGAGTCTTAATTCACAATAAAACAAGCAAGATTATACATTAACTTTTTTTTTCCTTTGTCACGCTGCAACCAATATAATGCTGCAATATGATCTGATGTAAAAGATTCCTCGAAAGCTCTGGCTGTATGTTTAGGCTCAATATCCATCAGGCTGTCGGTTCTGGTTGGTATGTGTGTGCCTTCACCTCTAATAGTGGGATGTGACTGCCAGGTGTGTTCTCACAGCTACAACTGTCAGGGCAATTCAGGAAGAGCTTAAAGAGGAGCAGATTCCCTGAGGCAGATGTTATATCTTGCTCTATGAGCTGAAACCAGTGTCTCAGTTCATACTTTGTACCTGGATTACAGGATACTGCCAACTCTCAGGAGTTTATTGAAGTACCAGCCATTGATACTCTCTCACTGAATCTCATCAACACTCATCCAGCTACCCCCCTGGTTCATGCTATCAGAACGCCTTTAAAAATAATGGAAGGAAGCAAGAAGTCATATTCAACAAGCACTGCTCTCTTCTACCTACTGATCTCAGCCTCTGTGGAAATACTTTTCTTCCTCTCTTGGAATTCCACCATCTGTCCAGCAGTAAGCTATTCATCTCACCAATTATATCTGAACCCAATTTCCTATAATTATAACTTAGCTCTTCTCCTTACTGCCATCCCAGATTTCTCCTGTGAATCTGGAAGAACCATTCATTTGTCTCAATTAACTGTTCAACCTTCACTCTGTATGAGAGTCTCAAACAAAATCAAAATGCTAGACTGAGTCTAACTCATCTTCCAGCACATTCTGACCAGCTTCCCTCTCATTCTTTTGGCTTACTAAAATGATCTCTATAGCATGATGCTGGAAATACAAGGTTTTACTATTGGGATTTTGTGTTAAAACCACAGGTGGGAGATGTGGAGTTAACAAGTCATCTCCATGCCATGCATTTGTTCTGCTCAGCAAATGAACCAGGTGAGTCGGGAAGCAAAGTGTGAGGATGATGTTTGGGCAAAAGGTGGAGGAGTAAACAGCTGCTGCTCAGAATAAAGACACAGTTGGAGGAGTCATTTCTAAAAAACGTTTTTTTGCCTTACGGGTGGGTGGATGGAACAAAAGGGCAAGTCTGGTAGATGAGGCAGGCTGGACAACATTTTCAAATGGGAAAGTGAGATAGAGGAGGTAAAAGAGGAGAATAAACTGGAATTAGAAAGAAGCAGTTCAGATGTAGAAAGAGTTGGGCGAAGGAAGGTTGTCATAGAAGGGATAAAAATAATATTTAGATTAAGTGCTGGAGATAAACAGAACCATTTGAGCCCCATTTTAAATATCCAGAGAAACAACTAAGAAAATTGGGAACGTCAGATTAGTGCAGGAGTTGAGAGATGGAAACTTACTGGTAATTTGAAATAATAAGGAGCAAAAAACAGAGCGGTGAACACTTAGGTCAAAGAGAGATGACAGAGAAAAAAGTCACAGGAGAGAATAAAACTGTGAAAGGAGTACATAATAACAGTAATCCCAGTTAACAGGGATTTAGATCAATTAAAGATGAACATTATTACGCTAGGTTAATAAGATACAGAGACTGTATGAAAACATACAGGGGGAAAGGGTGGCAAGCACGTCACTGCTGATAGAGTTTTCAGTGTCAGTTCTACCAGAGAGAGTTAAAATAGTTTTCATGAGTTCCCCAGTTAGGAGGTTCATTCCAAATCCACTCGGATGCTACAGGTGTCAGCACTCGGACACGGGGCAACAGTTTGTAGTGGAAAGCAAAGATGTTCAAATTGCGCAGAAGAACACAGAATCGAGGAGTGCAGGGAAGAATCTGAAGAAAGATGTGGGAAATATGGAGGCCAGCAACAACAAAAAAAAAAAAATATATATATATATATATATAAGCTACGCAGAAGCAGTGAAGAGAGTTCAACGAAAAAGGACCAGAGAAATGAATCAAGCTCAGAATCAGGTACAGTACAAAAGCCAAATAAAGTAGAAAGAGAAGATAACTTCATTCCGACGCAAGAAAAACTCATTCTATTCATAGCTTATGTTATCAAATGCACAGACCTTAGCATAAGGTCAGAAAATCAGGATCATTGAAGTTACGACTCAAAGAAGTTAGTTAGGAAAGCATAGTTACAAGGCTGGGGATGTAGGGACCAGAAGTCCCACCCAAAAACCTGTGCAGAAAAGCACAAGTAATTAAGTGCAAAACAGGTCATTTATGGAAAAAGAGAAACAAACAAGGACTATGGTTAAATACCTAAAACTCTTAGTTTTGCAACAAACATCAAAGTGACACTCAGCGTAAGCCCTATGCAGTAGTATCCAATGAAGTTTGCCACTGCTGGTATCTTCTGCTTTCCTGTTCCCAAGAAAATGCCCGTGCACACACCCTAAAGTATGAAACACATCTTACTTTCTGAATAACAAAGAGTATTCATTCCAAAAATGATTAAAAATGTTCAAGAATAAAAAATATAAATTCTTAGGACTTACTACAAGTGCATCAAAGAACTGAAGGAAACAGTAGACACTCATCATATCGGAAACCAAACCTACAATCTTCCTAAAAGGAACATTTTATCGTTTAAGTGTGCTGTAATATTTTAAATGAGTATTACTGTGACTTTAATGTAAATACAACTGTGCAGACCCACTCATCAGAGGTGAAGATTAAGCCAATCACCGATTTGGAGCATCCAAGCACAACACCCTCCACAACCGCAAAGGTAGCTGCACAAAGAGACGTTTAAAATATTACAAGAGACACAGGACAAAATAAAAGATATAGATTTAACTGACCTGCAAGACAGAGTGAGACCTTGCTGGTCAGAAGGGCCCTGGCGCTGTCTCCTGCACCAAGAGCATTCCCGACCCTAGCACATGTAGCAGCCTGAACACCCAGTGGAAACTGGGTGTTCAGGGTTATAACATAAAGTGTGTAAATTATTTTGAACTGATTCCCGTTAAAAAGAAAGATGTTCTGAGATAAAGTTACAGCACTGTACCATGTAAGTGATGAAAGTCACCATGATCACAGCATGTTGGGCTGCCAGCTCTTCCTCACTCAGCACTCCTGTTTATTACAGACATTTATGAATGTTGTGACTCAGTTGTATTGTTACATATGATTTGAGTTTATGTGTGTGTGTAAATTACCTGCAAGGAATCCTCCAAGTTCATAAACCCACCACTCAAAACACTTCATTAAGGAACTGGGAATGGCCAGTTTCATGTATGAGCCCCACTCCTGCAGTGATTCCACAGACCAGCCTGTAGAGGGAGATAGAGGCTTAATCATACCATCAAAACTAGTTTGAAAGCAAAGCAAAAGTTATGATCTGTGACCCTGTCCCTCACCATCCCATGTTTTTACATGCAGCTTCTTCCACCAGATGTAAGCAAAAAGAAAGGAACAGATGTATATCTGGGACAAAGTGTTTGCTGCCGCAGAACCACTGCAAAACAAAACAGCAGGATTGTCATGGTTTTGTTTTTATCTCTGAGTTTTCATTGGTCTTATTTCCATTTTTGTATTCTAGCTATTTTTGATTGTATTGGAGTTCTTAGATAGTTCTGGTTTGCTGTCTTGTGTCAGTCTCCTTTTCTCCCTATAGCTACCTTCTTGCTTTTGTTCACACCTGCTCTCAATCTGCTAATTAGCCTGTTCTTTGTTTCTCTCCCACATGTTCTCCTCCTGTTCAGTCACTCTTTGGTGGTTTGTCATCATTTCTTTGCCCTCTTGTTGTGAGTATTCCTGGTTCTCGGCTTTTGAGGATTTATGTTTTCGGATTTTTGCTTCTGTTACCCTTTTGGTTAGTTAAATCTTGCAAGAAACCACTTCAGCTTCAGTGTCTGCATTTGGGTCGTGTCAAACCTCCACCCCACCGTGACAGTGATAATTAAAGTGAGTTATTGTGCTGCTCATACTTATCCTGCGGTACATGTGCATGCTTACCTGACTCCAAGTTTCATCCAGTAAAGGAAGAGATAGTTTGTGGCAACATTTGCTACATTTGCCATTGCAGCTGTGTAGAGTTGTGGAAGTATTATACCCTAGGAATGCAGTACAAACATCAAAATCAACATGAAGTCAACATTTTTACTCCATCTAAATACCAAAGGGTAACAATGACAAATTAACAGAGAGAGCTGGCCTCTGATTTTAGAGATGGACTCACCTGGTTCTGCAGGTAAGACACCTGAAGGTTGTGAAGAAACATTGCCTATAAAGAAACACCTTAAAGTTAGATTTTTTTTACTACATATTCTAAACACAGATATTGCCAAGAATAAAAAAAAAAAAAAAAAATTATGTTCACTGTTAAAATAAATGTGAGATGAAATGTGTGACTTACTGGCACTGCAGGAAGGAAGGCTGTTATATAGAGCTGGGCAATTCTGTAAATAAATACAACAATGGTGAGCGAAAGATAAATTTTTTCTTAATTTGGCAAAAACAGTCTGACATGTCCTACCTGGTGTTGCATTGTTAAAAAAATAGCATTTATTAGATGTGTTATAAAAAATTACAAAGTTTAACACTGGTTTGCCGGTTTTAAAACTCTTGGTAAATTCACATACAAGATTTAAGAGATGTAAGGTGGTTATAGACAAATTGGGACATTGTTTATTGTTGGTGGCACAGGAAAAGAATAACAAAAACACAAAAATTAAAAATAACACAAGAGCGAATGTTTAGTATTTTAGGTGAGCCAGAAGCGAAGGTTGTAGACCACTGATCGAACAGATAAAAACTGTGATCCCACATTAATATGGCCAAAAAAGCTAATTAATTCTTAATTAATTCACTTTGGCAATTAATTAAAAATTAAGAATTAAATCTCAAAGTGAACTATTAAGGTAAAATGTTAAATTGGTCCAAGGAAAGACTTATTTACAGTCTCTTCTTTAAGCACATGCCATGATAATAAACTGATTTAGTATTGCACTGCAAAAAAATGATCTAAATAAGTATGAATGTTCTTAAAATAAGTGCACTTACTGTACCCTTAACTTGAGCAGATAAATAAGAAAATCAGCCAAAGGAATTAGTATGTCTCCTCTTATTAGAAGATATGATACAGTTGAAATAGTATAATAGATATAGGCATTAGCCCATGTCTAGAACTGTAAGGCCCACATATTTTTTCCAGTCATTATATTTAGCAATGATCCATAACATCCATCACATTCCTGAAGTAGAATAACTTTTTTTTTTTTCTGAATGAAAATGTTGCTTTTTTGGAACACACAGGGTAAATCCCTCACTTGTTTTACCTGTATTCTACTGTAAGTTCTGAAAAGGTCTGTTACTGGTAGTAATAGAATGATTAGTACTACAGTATATTTACTGCAGTAAGGTACCTGGCCACCTCAGGGTCCTGCCCCACACATAAGAGGATGGGTTGTGCGTTGATGAGCAGCCCCCAGCAAGGCAGACAGAACAAGAGCAAGATGATGATGCTCCTCTGAAGTATCACTCCCACCTGCAGCAGATTCTTACCTCCAAACGTCTGTCAATGTCAAACACATTTTAAACACCACACCTAAAAAAAATATTTAAGGGTGATAAATTATCTAATACAAAAAGCAGTTTTCCAAACCTGAGATACCAGGGTATCACACGCCAGTCCCAGCCCGTACCCTGTTGCTACAGTGGTTACGTTAATGGTCTGAAATGAAAGCAGGCTGCTGGAAGCGATGTTCCTTTCACTCAACAACAAAGTTTTGACACATTTATCAAACTGTCATTAATCAAAGCCAAGTACTTGTGACTAAAGTGATTAAGTGAGTTTAGAGGTATTTAATTTTCTCTGCATCAGCGGTTTTAAAACTGTGTGATCATTTGTCATTTCCCTCACCACAGTCCCTATATGTGTTGTTGAAACATTCAGCTGATCACTTACAGCAGAAGCCAGTCCGTAGCCAGCCATTACTTCATTTCCCAGACGCCCACAGAACATTGTGATCACAAAAGGCAGGAGGTAATTGAGAATTCGAGACAGCAGCTGGAAAGAAAAAGTTCGTATTACTGTTGAAGCAGCTACCAACTTGTGAATAAAATCAAAGTAAGAACCAGTTTCAATTAATTATTGTTGTCAACAGCAGTTTGATTTTATTGATGAGCTTTCACACCACCATTACTTTAGCAGCAAGCACCATCTATAACCTGCTGAACACTGTCCTACCTGTAAGCCTTATCCCTCTTAAACCTTTCTTTTGTCCAAAATAGCTGTCATCAATCATTTTGTTACAATTTACAGTCAAGCCAGGAAAAGACTGCCAGTTCTTACCAGAGGCCCTGTCATCCTCAGGATGTGGTACAGTTCCTCTCTGTGGGCTATAGGAACCCTGCGGCGCAGCCAACTGCAGCAAAAAAGCCTATCACTGGACACTTCCATATCTGAAGTGTATGACTGTTCACCACAGCTTCTTGCTTTTCTCTAACATATGTGTCTTTGTTGTGTTCTGGATGCTGATGAGAATGGAAATCTTGCTGTGAACACAGCTTCCCTGGAAGTAAGCCAGCGCCAGCTGAAACAACAAAGATTGTTTAACAAAGGCTAAGAAAACACTTTGTAATCACAACAGAGACTAGAATGGGGGACTTGAAAGGGAAAATGTTCATGTCTTGGTGATGAAACACTTAATAGACAATGAACCGGTTATGTGGAGAGCAGGACATTTTCTAACTGGAATCTGTTTTTCATAACTTCATTAGAGCATTTGTAGTGTTGAAGGTATTCAAATGTTTTTAAAGATATTTTTTCAGTGGAGCACTGACCGAGGCAACAATGGGATCTAATGTCATTTTAAAGCAATCAGATAAAACACACCTCAAAACATTCTTTCAATTATGAAGAAACATAGGAAAGATAAGAGAATATGTTATTGAATTAAGACATTTTTCATCTTTATGTTTAAATGTGCTCATATATGCAGTCAGAGCCCCAATAAATAACAAAAATGGATCTGTGATACACAAGGCTAAATGAGGACAAACATTTATTTAGCCATTTCAACTTGCAAAATACTTGTCTTTATATCAACCGTTATATGATTTATGCATATTCTTTGTGGGACTTTCAGGAGGAGAGAAAAGCTTTTTCTATCCTACAAATGAGAACCAACATTTTCTCAATATAACTGGGAATTTCTCTGGAATGCTGCAGTTTGATCAGAAAGTATTTGGATTGTTAAGTTTTGCACCTATTTTCGCCTATTAGAAAAAGGATGATTATGAGGAAAGTAGCTCATCCTCATTGCTCATGCCCATTGCTAAGTACAGTAGAGGATTTACAATGCTATAAGCCTGGGCCATGATTTTGAAGGCATTAGTACATTTGTGATGTGATGACTTAATGAATGAATAAATAAACAAACATATATATATATATATATATATATATATATGTATATATATATATATATATATATATATATATATATATATATATATTTATATGGTTAAATCATCACACAACCATTTAACAGGCCGTAATAAGCTGGAGAAGTTAGACCCTAGAGCAGGGGTCTCAAACCGGTTCCAGAAAGGGCAGTGTGGCTGCAGGTTTTCTTTCCAACCAAGCAATGGCACACCAGATCCCAGTCATCTCATCAATTAAGTGCAATCTGAACATGATGACTTGATGAGATGACTGGAGTCTTGTGTGCCATTGCTTAGTTGGAAAGAAAACCTTCAGCCACACAGCCCTTTCTGGAACCGGTTTGAGACCCCTACCCTAGAGAATACAATGAATTTGGTAAATGGCCTATATATATATATATATATATATATATATATATATATATATATATATATATATATATATATATATATATATATATATCGTGTTTTCAAGTCAAGAGATTTGACAAAAGGGCTTTACACTAAATTCAGTCATTCAAACACACACTGATGGTGGCAAACTACAATTGGAGCCACAGCTGCACTGGGGTTCACTGACAGACGCCACTGGACCCTCTGACCACCATCAGTAGACAATGCAGGTGAAGCATCTTGACCAAGGTCACAACGGCACTGAAAGCCAGAGCTGGGGCTCAAACCAACAACCCTCAGATTGCAGGGCAAACTCCTGCACCCGATGCCACTGTTGCACGGCTTTCCAGCTTTTGGGGTTTTCCTGAGATTGTGAAATTATGAATGGTCACTCTCTCAATCCCTATGGTCCACACTGAAATGTGATAGGAAATGTTGTAGCCAATTAACAAAACAAGGATATCAAAACATTTGGAAGCAGGGTCCCCTAAAATCTTTATAATTTCCTGTAAAAGTAAATGCACTTAAATCCAAGGTTGGATTTTTCTATAATTTTCAGTTCTAAACTTTGGTACTACATTCAAATATATATATATATATATATATATATATATTTTTTTTTTTTTTTTTGTTTACCCGAGGATGCAAATAGGTGTGATTTTAATTTTTTTTTTTTTTTTTTATGAAAAGAAAAAGGAGAGACAAAGCCAACCCAAAACAACTTACTTTTATTGGTTACAAATTCAGCCACACAGACTAGAAACAAATGTGTTTTCCTGAAAATACAGTTTTCAAGAATGATATAGTTTCTTTGAGAAATTCCATAATCACAATCACAATCTCAAGGCTTCTTAAAGCCCTCGACAGCATAATAATTAAAAAGGAAAGAAAAGGCAAATACAAATGAAAAGAAGTAATATTTTAAATCAAAATCAGACTAATCACTAAGTTTGCCTCAGGTATATAGTTAGAACACCAGATCCTCCATGATTATGTATTCATTTAACTCCACATAGTAGAAAATGTATCTGGAGCATAGGTCACATTGATCCAGTCAAGGGTAGAGTTGTTGCTTATAGATATAGTCTCTGGTAAGGGGACCAGGACACGAACAGCTGTTCCCACAGCTAGAAAGCCAACTGCTGCTAACATGGTGAGGCCTCGTCTGATTATAAGCTGGGTGGTGGAGAGGCGGCTGCTCATCTCCTGTTGCAGGGCTTGTCCAAACTTTATCTCACTTTTCCCATCATGTTCCTGAGTCTTCACTGGTTCGTAGCCATCCTCTGACTTAAAAAGAAGAAAATATAGTCTAAGTTAGAGGAGAGGTTTAGTTAATGTACAGCTATAAATAAAGTCGACTTACATTTCCACTATTTGCTGTTTGAACATTAGCTGTGCTGTCCCCATTTTGTAACAGGTCATCTGTACCTAACAATGTTAGATGAGTCTTTTTCTTTGCCCGTTTCACAGCCTGGGAACAAAAGCAAACAATGAGAAGAACAAACTCTGAGACCTAAACCTTTTGTTTTTGTTTGTTTGGTTGTTTTATTTGTTTTACGCAAAAAAAGGTATTCTGAATTATGCTTTTTGTGCTGGAAAACTAACTCTGGATATGAGCCTGAATGTACCATCCACACCTTGAAACACAATGGTGGCAGGATCATACTGTGGTATAATCAAGTTGGTCAGAATTTTTGAGAGAATGAATGGAAAGCAAAGCCAGTTGCTAGTAGTATTTGTTCATGTTTTACTTTTTGTTGGTCTATATTAGGGTTGCAACTAATGCTTGTTTTGCTAGGCGATTAATCTGTTGATATTTTTTTATTTTTTATTTATCAATTAACAATTGGGCAGCAGAAGCTTTGTAAAAGAAGGTTTTATATAGAGTTAAAGCCAGGTGAAACTAAAACAATGCCAACTGAGGAGTTCTAGGTAGCGCGTATCAACAGACAAAAAAGGTTTTTCATACTGAATGCAAAACATTTATATACGTTTTCAAATGCTGGCATGATTACTGCTCTAAGTGGGTTGCTCTCAGGTAATGGCATGTTATAGAGTCTATTTAGTCGAGTTAATGATTAATCAGTTACTGAATTAGTTGACAATTATTTCAACTAATCATGATTAATCCTGATTAATGATTTCAGCCCTAGTCTATTTAATAAAGAACCATTTCAAGTTTTTGTTCATAACAAGACAAAAATTTTAAAATACTCAGGGTGTGTGCACCTTCTGTATTGTGGGTTGGGAAAATGCACAAAAGATATCCTGCATAATTACTGGCAGACTTTTTAATGTGAATACCTCCTCTGTCATTTTCTTCCAGTTCAACCTGAAGATCACAATAATATAGAAAGTGGAATGCAGGACAACACAAATGAGCAGCCCGAGCCAAAAGCCTGCGGAGAAGAGACAAATGGATCTGTCAGAAGCACAGCAGGCCTCACTTGTTAAACCCTTTCTTCCTGCGCAAACACTTACTCACGTGGACAAAACTGTTGGTACCCCTCATATAATGAAAGGAAAACCCAAAGTGGTCACAGAAATAACTTGAATCTGACAAAAGTAATAAATACAAATTGTATGAAAATGAACAAATGAAAATCTGACATTGCTTTTCAACCATGCTTCAAAAGAATGATACTGAAAAATAGGTCTGGACAAAATGAATGGTAACCATAGAAAGGACTAAAAATAATGTGACCAAAGGGACATATCAGATCACATGTACACTGATTAGCATCATACCACTGACTACAGTCAGTCAGCCTATATAGACCTACAGGTAATCACTGTGCTGTTGAGTGACATGGTGTGTACCCCACTCAACATGGACCTTAGGAAGCGAAGAAATTAGCTGTCTCAGGAGGTTGGTAAGACCATTAAAGACTACCATGGTAAAGGTAAAGACTATAAGACCATCTCCAATCAGCCTAATGTCTCTGTGACTACAATTGAACTTATTAAGAACTTCCATGGGACTGTAGTCAACCTCCCTGGATGTGGCTGCAGGAGGACAAATTATAGCATATTAAATAGACGGATAATATGAAAGGTAACTGAAGATCCCAGAAAAACCCTTAAAGAGATTAAAAGAGACTTGAAGTTTAAACAACATTAGTGTCAGGTCACACCATCCATCGTTTGAGTTAAAGTGGACTCAATGGAAGACAACTAAGTAGGATATGATCCTAAAAAGCAAATCATAAAAAAGCAAGACTGGAATTTGCCAAACTGCATGTTAAAATGCCACAAAGCTTCTGGGAGAATGTTCTATGGACAGATGAGACAAAAATGGAGCTTTCTATTAGGACACATCAGCTTTATGTTCATGAGTGGAAAACTGAAGCATATCAAGTAAAGAATATTGGCTCTACTGTGAAACATGGGGAAGGCTTCGTTATGTTGTGAGGCTGCTTTGCATCATCCGACAAAGGATATCTTAAATCTCTGCAGGTTACAATGGATTCTTAAGACTATCAGTTTATTCTAGAGAGGAAAGCTTGTTCTCACTCACAGATTATGGGTCTTTAACATGATAATGACCCAAAACACACAGCTGAAAACACTCAGAGGAAAACATTGGACTATTCTGACTTGTCCTTCTATGAGCCCTGACTTAAATCCTATTGATCATATGGAAAGAACTGAAACATGCTGTCTGGAAAATGAACC